GTGTAATAAAGTGTATAAAAAAACGGAAGTCACATTTGGTCGATGTTCTTTATTTGTTTGTATTATTTGCCTCCAACTAACTGTATAACTTGTAAGTCCAACAAACACGTCGGATATTGAATAAGGTGCTTATCATTATTCCGGTTAAAGAGGCAAGTACATAGAGCAATACGATTCATTTAGGTTACTGTGTTTGGTTTAGGTATATATGATATATCCTTAGTAATTTTTTATCTTAATCTCAATGTAATAATGTTTAGTATTGAGTGAAGAAACTTTGTTAGTTGTATATACTGACGTGCTGTTGACTGTATATACTTGATGCAGTTAGGGTAGGGCTTGATAACAAGTTATACTCCGTTACATAGCCGAGTGGTTCGCACGGTGTCGCCATCTTGCGGTCCCGGGTTCGATTTGTTTTATTTTTTACTGAATTACACTTTCTTTTCAGTTAATGACTTCGCTGAATTTCTTGATAATTCCACCAGTCAACCATTTAAATATTATATTAATAACCAGACAATGATTACACTCGCCACCTATTCTAATTATAATCTTCAAATACCAAACGTGCGTCACTACGGTTCCAGGAATAAACTTAGTGAACATGGGTGGATATTTAATTTCGTGCAAATTGGGTGTCCTGCGATAAATAATATATAAATCGTTGAAAAAAACTGAATCGGCAACTCGCAAAAAAATTTTTTTTTTATTATAAACGTATTAAATTACAGAATGAAAGCCGCAAATCTCATTACCAGTCGTGTCCCTATTGCCTGATAGTCATTGAAGTTTGTTTCTAAAAATTTGATTGGGAGTACTACAATTTTATTTTATTTTTTTATTTTATTTTTTTTTATTTATTCAGTCTAGGCTGTTACAAGCACTTGTGAAGGTCGAGAACTACGCCATCGGTTCGTAAATCTACGGCGGGAGACCTTGTACCTAGAAGAACCGGCAGGAAACGCGGCAAGGGCTGCTTTTTTCTCCCTATTTTATTTCATCCAGAGCGTCAAGATTGAGAAATGACTTCATTAAAATTTGAAGTCACTTTTCATTAATAATTATAATTATAAGATACTAAGTATAATAATTAAAGTACATCTGGAAAATTTATTGTTTACCAAAGAACGTATGGGGCATTTCACGTGAAGCGGATAACAAGAATAAAGTGAGATCGGGAAATTTGTTCATATTCTGTTGAGTCGCAATGTTATAATTTCAAGCTTTTTTTCCAAAAAGAACAAGTGCTAGTACAAATACTAGGATTGCAAAAATTATTAAATAAAGCTTTTAATTGTAATTAATGCAATTATATCAATTTCAACTATTGAAACAGTATCCGCCCTATATATTATTAATAAATAAAATTATTATACTTATTTTTAGCAGTCTATTCATATAAAGCACCGAATTTTTACCTATAATTTTTTAGAGATAGTAAGGAAATACTAGATACCAGAAATTTTGAAAATCGTTCTTAAATATATCAAAGAAACTAGTACTGGATGTGGCGCACATTGCGATGTGTATGAATTCAATTTGCTGTAACTCCATAAATATGACTAGTGTTTCTTAATTTTTAAATTTAAGTTATAATATAAAAAAAATACGAAGTTACTTCAAACTTCATTTGAAATCTTTACTTCTGCTTTACTATACTTATATAAATACTACCGGTTTACTCTACTTATGTAAAAAAAAAAAACAAATTTACACCTTGATGAGGTCATCAGTCTTTCTTACCGAGGGACGTTTGGCACTCGATTAGCCGTGACGTAGGCTCCATTTGAAAACCTGAGAAACCTCTCGTCTGTGCCTGAGAGTGACTAGCTTTAGTTTTATGTCCCACGTTTTGGCTCCCTTACCTTGTAAGGACGCATTGATTAAATATTAGCAGTGCAGCAGGGATTTTAAGCCATACCTTCTCTTTGTATGGACCATCTGGGGTGATAGAAGAAGCTACCCCTGCATTACACGGCCTCGACAGACTAATAAGAGGCTCCCGATCTACTAGTGATTTTCCGCCAATAAGGAGGTAAATATCCTGATAAAAATAGATGATTGTTTTCCCGGTTTCATACCCCATGATATATGATATAGTATTTTTAATATAGACAATTCAATAAGATTGCAATTCTGAACTCGAATTACGTTCAAAAGAGTGTGATGAATTTGATTCTGATAAATAACTGACTCAAAAACACAAAGTCTTCAGAGGTCATATTTTTGAAACAGACCAATATCTGATGAAGAGCAGAGAAATAACCCTACCGGGGAAACTACACTAAAAAAAACGCGCTAGGTACACTACCTCATAGGTGGTGTGGAAACGTGTACATATTACAGACAATACAGCGTAAGAAAATTTTGTAATTGTTTTTTCTCAAAAATGGTTAGTGTTAGGAAAAAATGTGTAAGGATAATTTTTGTAGATAATTGCATGATCTACAGTTTTTGGCTAACATATTTTTTCATAAAGCTAACCGTTCTGCTGAAAAATTCAAAAGACCCATTTTTGCAACCTTTGACCTTGAATAAAAATTTCTGCAGACATGGGATCGATGGGGACTTTTCACAATCTCATAATAATGGTGTCCCTAACATCTATGCAAATTTTCAGCTTTCTAAGAATTAATGCAATTTTACCCCTATTCTTGGGCTAAATTGACCGGACTATTTAAATGAATGAGATCAAAAATGGCCGCTGGCCTTTTTACGTTATTTTTAATTTAACTTATGCATTTTTTGGTTGGTTAACAAGCAATTAAGATTAAGCCGTTGATCTGCTGTGTACTATATTATGAAAGTCTACATTCATCCTAATCGTGTAACTAGTTTCCAAATAGTGAAATAAAGAAATAAATTTCAAATAAACAATTGGGTGAAAACGTTTATTTTTTCCCTAAGGAGGGAACGTACACTAAAAGGCTATCCTTGTCACAATGAGATAGAAAGGGACAAAGGATAGTGGTTTTTAATTACGGTTCAATTAATTAAGAACTCGCAAGCAATTACAGTTATTAAATAAGTGCATCATAATTCATTTTCATGAATAAAGGGTATAATTACAACAAACAGTGGGATTAATGGTGAATTTTTCTAATAACTTTGTGATTTACTATTGCGAGAATTTTGTTAACAGATATTTTGGTTGTGACAGAAACCTGTAGAACGTTAGTTCTACCTCAACCTAGTTGAAAATTTGCGGCATTGGATGTACACGCCCTTGTATAAAAGAGTAAAATGTAACATTTAACTACGAATAAAGCATAATGGTGTGTAATAAAGCATCATTACTATATTTCATAGATGTTCTTAATAAAAAATGCTTCAAACATCCACTTTGTCTCCGGCTCTCAGAGATGGGACTCGAACCAATGACCTATCGCAATTCGGGAGACTGCTCTAAAAAAATTTTCTTATTATTATACTTTTCATTAAGAATATATTTCATTATATCATTTGACGACCTCCGTGGCCGAGTGGTTCGTACGCCGGTTTCAAGGTGTCGCCATCTCTGAGGTCCCGGGTTCTATTCCCGGTCGGGTCAATGTAGAAAATGAACTTTTCTATATTGACTCGGGTCTGGGTGTTGTGGTACCATCGTTATCTCAGATACTCCATAATACTTTAGCTACTCATCTTGGAATCTGAGCAATGTATGTGATGTTGTTTAATATTTATTTATTTATCATTGCGAATGCAAATTGATCAAATAAAAGCATTAGTACAAATTTTCATCTCTATCGAAAGTTAACAAAAATCTGAAGATATTTCTTTCAACTGTTTGGATGGATTGCCTGAACATTGATGAAAATATGCTCTACAGTATAGAAAAAGTAACAAGTGCTTGAAAAATTCTTCAGTCCCGTTAGGTCCTGGCCTTCGGGTCGATCCCGCGCATCGCCTTCCATGCGAGGGACATCGCTGAGTTTTAGTGGGTAAACTCCTGTTTCTTGTCTAGCCCCTTCGGGGGTGGGGCCGCAGGAGGAGTCCCACATAACCCGTGGAGCCCGCGCAGGGTGAAACGGTATGCGTAACGCATTTCTCAGCGTCAAAAAAAAATCCTGGGTAGCTCAGTGATTAGAGCAGTCGCCCGGATTGTCAGGACAAAGTGGATTTTTCAATCATTTTTCATTTATTATATAAAGCACCATTTTTTATTTATTAGATTTCAAAAACATTACCTTACGACTATTGGAAATGTTTCAATTTTATCTTATGATAATTAAAACCGGTCTTATTAATTATATGCTCTCTATATAATAGAATTTGTGAATATCAAAAGTTACCTGGATTCAAACCTTACCAAATTGAACTGCAAAATGAAATCATCAGAATATATTAAACAGGTTTTACGTCCACTTCATATCACTACACCACACATCACTAACAGTGTTATTAACGAACTAAGTATTAGTCAAGTTTTTAAACATAGACTAGTACTGGTTCTATGGGAGTAATATTTACTCCTAGAATCTAGTAGGTTTGCTAATTCTCTGTATAATATGAATTAGGACTAATACTAAGATTGCAATTTTAGCGTAAATTTACATTGACACTTTGTATGATAATATTACTCTACTGAAATAATATAAAAACTAAAGAGCATTCTGTCTCAAAGTAACTTGATATAATAACAGAAAATCAAATTGTCACTAATGCGAACTATCTGAATGTATCGGTACAACCAAATATTCCTGTTGATATCATAACAACGCCAACAGTGTAATCTATCTATATCGATATAAGATTGTTTGATATCGTATTTAGTCATCGTAACCGTTATCTGCCCATGAGTCAGTATTTATCTACACTGACTTCTTATAGACGGGCAGAATAGCAATGCTTAAAAATTATTTAAGGTATAGTTTATCTGCAACGTTCCTTCAACAACATTGAAAAACATATATCGAATTGGTAAAGAGCAAACTAAAATATTTTTATTACCTAAGTACTTAAACATCTTTGATTTGCTAATTCGATTGGTAGTAGATTATTCATGAAGGAGAACGTATAAGTTGTGCGAAAAATAAATTAAAAGCTAAGATTGATCGTTATCTTAGTTTATTTATAATATACATATAATATTTAGCAATTCTAGATAATGATATTAATGATTTACTTAAACATTTGGTGTAGTTGAATGTAATAACATGACTGTTGGGTGTTCAGATGCTACATTATCGTCTTCATCAACGTCTGCCAAGGTTGTTTTCTGATTAGGTTCACGTGGTATCACGTTCAAAGGCAGGTCATCCAAATCTGGAGCATATGCCCATTTCTCAAACAATTTCCTTGCTATTTCATGAGGATCTCCAAACGATGACGTACTGATGTCTACGTATAGGAATTGTTTTTCAACTGTTGCTCTGACCAGTTTCTGTGTAGCCCTCTCATCAAATATTTCATTTCTCGCTTTCGCATCAAAAGCTGCCGACAGAAACAAAGTCCACCTCGGAATGTAGTAATAGTGGAATACTTCAGCCCATTGCTTGCATGCGTAATCTGTTATTTCGCCATTGGGACCCCATAGTGTTATTTGGTTTCTTGCATTCATTTCATAAAAGAATGTTTCTTCAGATGAGCCAAAGCTTCTTGCTTTTGATAACCAATTTGATATACTAAAATCTTGATTCGTTGTTAGAATACTCTCTATGTCTTGCATTATATCTAAAAACTGATTTATGGTAGCGTTATATACCCAAGTACTTGAATAACGATTGTCCAATATGTTTATGTATAATTGCTCTGCACGGTATTGCAAGGCTTGCCTAGTAATATCGACTAGGTCGTGGTTAAATCCAGAAGAAAAACAGTCTGAGTTCATTACAAAAACGAATGTTTTGAAAGCATCAAACAAATCTTTGCTTTTGTACCAAGCCCAGGGTTTGATTCGAAGACTAGGCCTGCGGGTAACAACGTATTTACCTCTTATTTTGTTTAGACCTTCAAAGTTATACACGCTATGTAGTAGCAATTTCCAAGCATCGGTGGTGTTATTGCATCCATACCTTCTCTCAGCGTAATCTGCCACCCACTTGTCTAAATCTTGAATTGGCTCCTTACGCCAACCCGTCTCTAGCATTAGATCGTAGATTACATAATTCTGATTGATGCCTTCAGGCGTAAGACCTATGCCAATCATTGTCGAATTTACTCGATTTCGCACTTCATAAATATCGTTGTTGATTGTTTGCACACTTCCAAACATTCCCAATGTGCCGCCGAAATTGTGCAGCATGCACCATATGAAAGGCTGCCCAAAGTACATTTCATATAGATTGTATTGCGGCCATTGCTCTGACTGCAAGTCTAAAACTAGCATTCGTCCTCTGGGCACGGCCGTCAGAAATGCTTCTACTCTACTCTTGGGCCATAATACAGGGTCGTGAGCAAACATCCAATTTTGAACTAACCATACGGCGTTATCGTCTGACTCATAAATTGTAGAAAATATAGCTTTTGCCGTGTCTCTCACTAAACTAGTTGACCAACCTGCAACTTTAATTTCATTGAAAGGATCAGCCGCATAAATGTGGTCAGAAGCTGTTCCGGCAGTTACCTCCCTTAAAAACAACATACCTATAGTTTTGAATAGCGGGTCATTTGGGTCAATGAAGTAATCACAACAGTAGCTGTCACCGAACTTATTCCATGTCTCTACTGTGTGCAAGGTTGTGTTTGGATAAATTCTGGATATTGCTCTTGGTACGTGTCCGTTAAATGCGGGAAATACAGGTACAATTCCAAGTCGGAACATGTAATCTACTATTGTATCCTGGATATCTTTCTGTCTATCGTGCCAAGATTTGAGTAAAGGCCCTCCCCAACCACGTAGATTTCCCATTCTCAGCCAAGCCAGAAAGGCCGGTCCAGTGAAATGTTGATCGATTTCATCTTTTTTCATACCTAATTTTTGGTAAACACGTGCCCATGCCGCTTCTTGAGCGACGGGTGCAAGCGCCAAATTTATACCGTTTAAAGCCATCCATTCGACATGGTTCTTCCAATCATCAGAGTTCCACCAAACGAAGCTATACGACGCAGTGCATACATTCTGGTAGTAACGAAATCTATCACTCGCTACAACGAATTCATCAACCTCAGGCAACGGATCGGGTATAGCTAACCTTTGATTTTGCCATGCGATTTGACTTTTGCAATACTTCTTCAAGTAATAATTAAATCCCCATACTGCGGCGACACCGGTACTCGCCCTGATGCGGAGCTGACCTTGTGATGTGCGCAACGAAAACACATCTTTGTTATTTTGAAACAAAATAGGATTCACTTCCACTATCACTTGGTTAGAATACTTTGCAATAATGTCTATTGCAGCTTGTTGTTGGACACTGGCTGGGGTCTTGGTTTGTAATTTGGTTGGATCTAGAAAGTCTAAATTTAGAGCGTTACTTATAGTACATGTCAAAAGGACTAATAAAAAATGTCTCATGATTGTGTAGCTCGCTCGACCGTGTCGACTCTACTGAATTGAATGTGATCAGTTAACGACAGAATGGTCGGTGACCCTATCCGCTTACGACTGATAAAAGACGATCTTAACTACTCAATACAAAGAAATGGTCATAGGTATCGCTTTTATGCTATCTCATGTTCGTATACACTATGTATGTACACACAGTTCATTAAGTTTGGAGTAATGTTGCTATCGAATTTCTAATTACTATACAAATTTATAATTACTCGAACTATTGTAATTTCCTGGGATAATAGGTATAACGCTTCGACGATTATTGTTTCGTATTCTAGATACTAAAATTTATCTATAATTGTTCAATTGATTGAACAAATAGAAAAAGGTTGTTCGAGAAGACATGAATAATAAATCGTCTAAGAAATAAAATAGATAAAGTTCACTAGCCTCAAGTACTCCGAGATAGGACCCGATACGTGGGGTTTGGGACTGGTGAATTTGTGACGGGTACGGTGCTTGGGTCAATTAATAAGGATGAATAGCTTGAGTATAGATTTATTAATTATATAAGGGTAAATAAGAAACTGTAACAAACAAAAATTAAATTTAAAAAAAACAGTTCGTAAGTTACTTAACTAATACATACAAATTATCAAATAAACGAATACATACCCCTTGTCGTGTTTCTAGTTAAACTCTCGGATCGTCTAAAATACAGATTGCAATAATGTAAGTACATATGTTATATAATTTGTATCACAATATCACATTCTTTATCACAATCAATAAATTATTTTAAAATTACATAATAAAATTTATACGACTAATACTGTATATTAATTTTCATGTTGTGCATAAAAGAATTTCTTACGAACTGACATCCATAAAGAGTATAATTGATTAGTCAAAATTTTAAATTACGATAGACGAATAATAAAAAGAAATGATGTTGAACTTCAAAAACAAAAAGTTTGCATACTAAAACCTAGGAAAACAAACGGTGGCATGGCACACCGTTACAAATTAAGACATTTTTCATTAATATATCTGGCAGAATAGTACTATAAATGCAATATTGATCGAAAATAATAAAACATAACTCAATAATTCTTAACTTATATTATTTCATACGTTCAGGCTTGGTAGGTTCTTATTATAATCAACATGAAAAACTTTACAGACTAATATTATGAGTATTTTGGAAACCACCTTTTTACAACTATTGAGTGAGAAAAATATTATAACTATACTAAATAATCTTTGGCGTTTCTCAATAAAATAATCTTTGTTAAGTAATAGTAACCTTAAGAATAATTAGTATAAGTCAATCGCTTTACCCTTAAATAAGGGTTCTTGGTAAAAGGATTTACCTAGCTTTTAGAATAAATCAAGAAATATTACTTTTTTCAATATTTAAAGATTTACTCTTAGTTTTTTTAGTTGTTTATTTAACAAATTAGATTTTTTATAAAAGATTTAAATTCAAATCTCGACATTTTTACTTTAAATTATATGCGGGGAATACCCTTTCTAGCAAAAAGATAATGGATATAAACAGTCCAATACAGATATCAATATCGTGAAGCTTTACTACACACACTATTCTGTTATTTACAATAAATATGTTTTTACATGACTGCACGTCAGGTTATCACAAAATAATATGTCGAATTGTCGCAATTGGTTTTGTATTCAACACTCAATGTAATAAGGTTCAATTTGAATGGAGAAATTAGACAGTTTTTTTTCTGTACACAAAGAAACATCCGAATTGACAACCTCCGCCTTTTTAGAGTCCGTTAAAAATTTTGAAACTTATAAATTATTTGTTGTTTATCTTAAGCATATGCGCACACCAATGATTATATTGTCATAAAAACTACTTCACAAAATAGAACTACACGCATTGTTGAATTTTGTAACTATAACTTTTTGTGTCCCGTCACCTTCTTTGAGAAACGACGGTATGGCGCACGCACAGTAACAAACAATAAATCAAGATGATAAAAAAAATCAGGTTCTTAGACTGAGTTTACGTCCGATTGTAGGCTACTTAAATTTAGGACGGTAACGGTTGAGAATTACAAATTTCCCATCAAGAAACTCAAACTCAACAGTCTGTGATCTCATGCATGTTCTGTAAAAGTCACCTAATTGTGTCGTTTTCACCGCAAACATTCTCAAGCACGGCGTCAGGAGACAAAAAGCCATCAGTATGTTTATAGCCTTAGATTAACATAATCTTAACTACAGGTACATTAATGATTGACTATACTATGCTAATAGGGATGATGACTGGGTAAAAAAAATGCAATTCTATTTAGTCCGTCAGTCAGATAATAGAAAAATATTAGATACCTATTTTTTTTACTTCAATTTAACAAGAAATAGCTTAGATAACAGGCATTAAAGTTGAGGAGTGGGGACTCGCTACGTAGGTGAGTAGAAAACGTACTCTAACGTGACGTCATGCGCAATTTCAACTCAATGTAACGCTGTAATTTTATGATTACGAAAAAAATACGTGTTTAATATTTTTTAACACTCTACCTGACGGACAAACAAACAAAAATTAGTCTCTATACATAAAGAGGAGTTCCACAGTGATCGGCACATTACACCACCAGCCTTTTGATCTTCCCATTGTTGGGGCTCAGGCCTTCCCTATATGGTATCGAATGAAACTGAATAGTTAAAAACCCATTATATAACAACAACCATTGTATAAGTGATGTGGTATGAATCAGTGTTTTGTTTTTTCAATCAAGTGAAATTTCACATTTGTGTGTTATGAACAGAGCTCGAGCACAGTTATAGGTAACTACACAAATTTCTTAGCAGTAGGTGAGCGTCAAGACAGATTATGAATTCATCGCATACCCCCATGACTGGTTTGAACAAATAATTTTTTATTTTTCGAAATTTTTCTTTTTAAGTGAACATATATGATTTTTTTGAATAGTCATTTTTTTATATTGTATATCCGTTTAACCTCCTGCAAATTATGAATGTATATGTACAATTAGTGCGCCAATAAAAAATATTATATATTCTACTGAACTTATAAGTTCAAAAAACGTGGGCATGTTTTGCCCAGAGCATCAAGATTCATTGTGCCGGAGCTACATATGGTTCTTATATTCATCATCCGCACTTTTTCACCCCACTGCAATAGATCAGACATTTCTTTTGGATGGTTATGGAGGACGGGCCATGACTTATTATTTAATAGGGTATTAACGACCACAAATGCAACCGAGACTTAACGGCTTAACGCTCCTTCTGAAGCACGGAGTAGTTCGAGATCATAATTTTTCGGTCACCCATCATTGGAAAGTTGCTTAACAACAACGATCGCGGGCCGCGGGATATTATAGTTGATGATGATGATTTTGTGTAAGTTAACTATTTATCATCGCTGTAAATGTCGGTAGATACTTCAAGGTCCCTTAGGGTTGATGCATATTTGAAGAGGTGTTTCTTGTGTGACAATGGATGACTCGGTAGAGCTATTTGATCGACTGGACCTGCTGTGGAATGATGATGGATGCCACTTTGATTTTCTGAAACCTCTGAACCTAAAAAGGTGAATATTTTGGTAATTAAATTATATAGGTGAAGCTAATTGACTTGCAACAATCAAAGAAATTAAAACTCTTAAATTTTTGTAAAAATATTTTACTATTCCACCACTACTATTGATTCGCGTTACTTAATCGTCATTGATGCGACAATGGTAGAAATCTCAAGGCACAATCTAGGCTAAATTTAGAATTAGTCCTCTGAAACCGTGTTTGAAATTTATTTGTTTGAATTTGGATTTGTTTTAGTTCAGTTAGGTGTAATGGAATTGGCACTACTGTATCTTGTAGTCATATTATTATTTTACAGTGTTGGGATAAATTTAGGCTGAAACTGCACTTAGTATTAGTCAAAATTCATATTATTAAACAGAGACTTAGCAAAGGTTAACCTAGTACGAGGTTGTACGGGAGTAATATTAACTCCTAGAAGGTAGTAAGTTTCGCTCATTGTCTTTGAAATATGAATTTGGACTATTACCAAAATTGCAAGTTTAGCGTAAATTTACTCTGACGCTTAACCTTGTTTATTAATAATACTGATAAAGTCTTTATTACTCGCCGATAATTCAACTTCATGTTAAGACAATATTTAAAATTGATTCTTAAGTTTGTTCGTTACAATCAAAAAGTATCAATCAAATCATATAAATGAGAATATATAGATATAGAATCAAGTATATAAACAAACCTCTTCACGAGTTTCCTTAATATTTTCTTCTTGCAGACAAATATGAGGAAAATGGTCAGCCCCATCAGCAGATTGAATGTATCCGAGATGTACCAAACGTTAAAATCGGGCATGAACGAGCTCACCACCTCTAACAGCCAGTTAAGCCCCATCAGCAGTGACAGTTTAAGATAAACCAAGAATCTGCAATATTTTTTTGTAATTATGTATTAACAATATACTTAGTTACACACAGTGAAAAATAAGTTATACAGAAATAATCAAATAAAAAAAATAGTATATTTTCCAGTAAAATTATTTGGTTTGCGGCCCATTTTTCCTATGTAACCAGAATACATGCTCAAAAAAACCCAAGCCTGGCGCAAACGAAATGTAACTCATTTTAAATGTATAAATGAGTAAGCAATATTGCCCACACTGCTAAGGCACAAATTTCCCTATGTTCAAAATGTATGGGGAAAAACCCAGGCCCGGCGCAAACGAAATCTTTCTCATATTAAAGGTATAAATGAGTGAGTAAATATTGCATAGGGGGCATTATCAATATCAATGGCTTAATGTAATATATTGCTATTCCAATTTTAACTGGGGCCAGTATTCAATGTATTAATTAATAAAAGGAGAATTATGAAAAAAAAAATTATGCTTGTACAATTAACTAACGCATTGGTCAGTCTGGTCTTGTCTTTAGTTTCAGGAGAATTATGGGAAATAAAAAAATGCTTGCACTATTAACTAACGGATTGGCCAGTCTTGTCTTGTCTTCAGTTCATCAATTATCTATAGTATAAAAATAATTCTCAAATTTAGTAGTTAAAAAAATACATGAAAATTAAGTGAACTGGTAAGAGACAAGCTCAGTGGAACTGATTACTTTCTTTGTGATTTTTTTATCTTTCACTAATGATATACCCAAGTTACGTATATAAATAAAAAACTATGCGGATTTTGTGGATTACATTTTAGAGGGCTTCCAACCACCGCAATAGGTGGGTAAATACTCTAAAACAATATCGCACATGCGCATTGGAGCCACAGAGGTGTTATATCTTCTCAAAATCATGTTTCTCGTCGTTTTGTCTCTTGTTGTAGATAACTTTTAATGGAACTAGATTGATTTGTCACATATTTTTATTATAGTAGGGCGACTGCTCTAACCACTGAGTAACCCAGAAAATAGATAAAATATCGCACACCTAGATCTAAACTGAGACAACTCAAAAATTTGAGTGAGTTTTGACTTAGTACAATATTCAAATACTCGGTGATCATATGCATCTATCTAACACAACGGATTCAATAAAGGTTCGGGGATGAGCCGCTAGATAACTTTAGCTTTCTTTTGTTGAATCAACAGTAGTCGCGCTCCTGCCTCGTAAACAAATGAATTGTCAGACCTCCACATTCGTTTTTTGAGTTGTCTTAGTTTAGATCTAGGTGTGCGATATGATAATACCACAAAATTGACAAAACATAATAATCAATAAAATATTAAAATAAACCATTGTTGTGTCAATGACGAAAGTCATGTTACGAAAAGAGTGATGGGTATGCATGTGGATGGATATGTGAGTAGAGGCAGACCGAAGAAAAGATGGATCGACTGTGTGAAAGAGGATATGAATAAGAAAGATGTGGATTTGGAGCTGACGTCTGACAGAGAAGAATGGAAGAAGAAAACATGTTGTGCCGACCCCACGTAACGTGGGATAAAGGGCAGGAGGATGATGATGAGTTTTGTTAATGTAAAGTCAAAATAATTTTTATACAAATAGAATCCTTCTCAACATTTTTTTCCATCTACTAGTTCAGGACATTTTTTGACTTATAGGAAGAACGAGCAAGAAACTAACCGCTCTAATGGGAGTAACGGAATTCACAAAACCATGTCATTACCAGATCTATACATTATAAATACCTATACAGAGAAAAAATACTATGATCTTATGATAACATAATAATTTATTAGTGGCAACAAAATAATTTTGAGGTATAAAGAGTTTAGAAAAAAAGATCTATCCAGTTACTGGACCATCTCAAGTCCAAGCATTCTTATCTTTTTAATTACCTTATATCTGTTATATAACCTTAAAATAAGATTTTTTAATAAGTTTTTTTATGATAGCAGATTTAAACTGCGTGACATCTAATTGTTGTATTTTGATTGGAACCTTATTGAAGATGCGTATACAGAGATTCATGGACGTATTATTAACTTTTTGTAGTCCAGTTACAGGCACAGTAAATTTATTTTTATTTCTTGTATTAAAATTGTGTACACCACTTTTTGTAGGAAACAACGTAATATTTATGTACGTACATTAAGTTATCGTAAATATATTGAAAAGCAACTGTCATTATGTCTATATCTTAAACCGTTTCCCTTAAAGAGTGCCTAAACTTCCGGTTAAAATAAATCTAATAGATCTTTTCTAAAGCACAAAAATCGGTTGTGTGTCAGCAGCATTTCTCCATCAATGTCGTATGGAATCTTGGCCGTACGACATTACACTATGAAAATAACTAAAGTATACTAATCTGGCAGTATCTATATCGGTTAATCTACGTATCTTCATTAGGGTATATGCTGCAGAGTTAAGTCTATTCGACAATTTATCAATTTAATAGGTTTGATTGAAAAATTAAAGTTACAAATTGGTTGTTGGAATGGAACAAACATACGAGGATACAGAAATAATAATGATATGTGAGAGCATGTAAGGTTGGATTTTGTTCAAATTTCTGAGTTTGGGTATCATTGCAAATGTCCACATTCTCCCCAATCACCTTTACAGCTATAAATTATTTATCTATTGTAACGGATTTCTCCTTTATTTTGGTTTGAGAAGAAAAAAAAATTAAGAAATATAAACTGTGTACAATTTATTTATAAATGAAGTTTTTTTTTGAGATAACAATTTTATACAAATTACCAATTACCAATTACAAATTACCAGTTACAAATTACCAATTACAAATTACTAATTACAAATTACCAATTACCCCCTTAAAGTAAAAAAAACATAAGGGTATATTTCGACCTTGGCTTCGCTGGTTCATATAAATTACAAATTAACAATTGCTCCCTTAAAGTAAAAAAATAAAAGGGTGTATTTTGACCTTGGCTTCGCTGCCGTACTCAGAAGGAGTACGGCAACACAACAAACCGGGGGCTGTCTGTTGTCCTACGGTCTCACTGTCCAGCGTTATAATTCGTAGACATAAAATAACATTTATAACACTTAATGCTACTAAACACAATAATAGTTGGGCACAGCTCAATGTTCAGCTTGTCTTTTGTTTAATAAATTTAATAAAATTTCATCCACCTCAACAGCGAAACAATCAGGTCTTCCTTTTTATTCAGCTCAGTAATGTAGGTGGGTCAAACCACAGATACCCATCCACATGGAGCGATATAGCATTTACATACGGTTACTGGTGGTACCGTCAACCTGTATCGGACAACTCGCACCAGGCAGCCAGTACAATACAGCCAGTACCAGACAGTCAGGATAATACAGCCAGTACCAGACAACCAGTACAATACAGCCAGTACCAGACAGCCTCTCGGTTTGAGAGGCGAAAAACAACAAGAAACACTTATGCGACCGGCGCCCACAAATCCGCAGCACTGCTCGGCCTTCCCTGCATCAAAATCACCACGAATGGAAGCCCACGTATTCAACAAACGAGCCGAGACACGGTAGACTTGTAGACTTCTCTTCACTCTTAGATGATCAGCAGAATAAAAGGAAAGACAAAGCCGGGTTCCGACTTAAATACGATTTCCATTTCCATTCGACTCAAGCGACCTGAACAGCTGTTAAATGAAGCAACTCCGTTTCACGGACAACACACAATGGCTACAAATTTTGACCTTTAAAAATTTAATAGGAAAAATACATAAATAAAATATTTATGTTTTATTGAATTGAAAATAAAATTATAGGACACATGCAAATATGCATGAAAAAACTGACAAAACCCTGCATACAAAGGAATATAACTAGGTGACAACTTCACACTATTGCTTTATTTTCTTAATTCAACGTTCTAAAACCTGAAGTCTGATTTAATAATTTTGTTATAAAAAAGTGAGTTTTCGAAATAGCTATTTATTGTAATTTTAACGAATTGATTATATTCTATAAAGAAGGTCAAATACTACTTAATTGTTATTAAAAATAGGGAAGAGAAATTTAATTTGGAAGAAAATATAAATATGTAAAGGTAAGTTCTAAGGTTAATTACGGCTTTCGGAACGTACACCAAGTGTCAAAATAAATGCTTTGGTGTTTTGTAAACAATAGGTTCAACTTTATTTTGTAAAATTAATAAGGTTATCTCTAATGGAAGCAAATGAGAAAATAGTTAAAGTTATAATTTTGAGACAAACTAATGGTTCTATTTTGTATCTTGGTGGTTGATAGATTGGTACATACGAGTGGAAGATTGTCACCGGTTAAGGAATAATGAAATTAGATTAGTGAAAACAATTTTTATGCCCTAATGGCTTTACCAGAAAAATATGGTAAGTTGACCTCCTAAAAACAATGTTTAGAAATCAATCAATCAATGAACATTACTAGACAAGACTAATAAAATGTTGTGAAAGTTAAAATAAAACATCATCAAATTTTCCAGTGTTACACTATACAATTTAATATGTTACCAATCATAATATAGCTTAACTTAACCATACACCCTCTCGATACTCATTATATGCGTTTCTCACATTACACACAGTGAGGACTTCTTTTCTGTTACGTCCTCACTACAGGGGCTCAGGCCTTCCTTATGGATGGTTAAGGAGGATGGACCATGACCATCCACGCTGGCCCAATGCGAATTAGAGGGTATTAACGATTGCAAATGCAGCCGGGACCAACGGCTTAACGTGTCTTCCGAAGCACGGAGTAGTTCGAGATAATAATTTTTGGGTCACCCATCCCGTGACCGACCCTTGCGAAAGTTACTTAACGACTACGATCGCGGGCCGCGGCGCTTATCCTATACGCCACTGAGCTACTCTACATTTTAGTATAATTTATTTTCAATATTGCATAGCTCTCAAAGATTAGTTACACTGAAGTTTATTGTTGCTAAAATTCAACGCTTTCGTAATAAATAAACGCTAAATCATCAGCAATCACTAATTGTTTGCCTTTACTATATATCTTTTTTTAAATCTTCATCCATAACTATTTAAAAACGATCATAATAAGAAGCTAAACTTGAAGGAGGTCTATACTCAGTGGAACAGAACGACCGACACTCCCGAGGTTCCTGGAGAGTACTATTTGTCTTTAATATGATGTAAAAAAAATATAAGTCTAGGTCAAATAGTTTCGGAGATATTAAATTACAAAGTTTTTGAAAAAAAATGAGTGTTTTCAACCCTGAGTCCGCTATTTTTGGGACGTACTAAGGAAAAGTTTTTAATCGGTTATTGACTTCTTCATTTCTAAAAACGAAATAAACTAGCTTTTGATTTATAAAACTGCTTTCATGCAAATTCTACCAGTTAATCAATAAACAAGGCAGTCAAAATGCTTAAATCAAATACAGACTGACAGCCGGTTTATGATTTGAAAAAAGTAGAAAATTTCTACTGCTTATTCGCAATAACCTAAGTTTTTTTAATTTCATAAGTCAAATAGTCTTAGTTTTATCAAACTGCTATCAACTGATAATCAAAAAACTAAAATCGGAAACGAAAACTAAGTGATATTAGTTTGAGACGTTTAACTTTAAATACTCAATAAAGAAACCGAGTGTAAAATTTCCTAAATTATTGTAGAGATATCTAACATTAACCTACGTTATTTTTAAAGAGCAGTTCTCCATAAAAATTGTTTGAATGGGGTAATACTCCTTTAACAACGGGATCGTTAATTAAACTCGATAAACTCACAAATCTTCCAGTGATTCATCATTAACACAAATGAACTTTGTTTTAAAAACATTGAGGAATTTGTTTTTAAAATAGCATTTAAAAAGAACATTAAAAAATGCGTGATATCAAAAGACGAATAAAAAAAATATGAACCGAGTTCGTTCCTCAATATCAAAGCCCCACCCACCCGCCAGCCGCCAGGCGGCTTCATTATTCTGTTGGTATTGTCCGCCCGCTCAGTCGCCGCCAACCTTTTGCGCTGGAGTGTTGTTGCGTATCGCCGCCGACGCACCGCTGCGAAGCGTCTTTTTTGTCGATTTTTGTTTTGTTCTAGTGCATTTTTAATTGAATTTTTGTTAATAAAATACTAGAGTGTTCGTCTTGAGTGTTAAGTTTAGTTTAGTGAAGATTGTGTTTAGTTTTGTGTGTAATGTGATGTGTTTTGCGCGTGCATACACTGGCATGCAAAAGAGCGTGCTTAGCTGTCTTCAGAGAAGAATTGAACATTTTCAGCATCGACTATCATTAAGATATCGGTAAATAATTAAATTAAATTAATGTATTTCGCGGTCCGTTGTAATCTGCGCACAATCGATATTGCGCATGCGCGTTAAAGGGCTGACGACACTTAGAAATTTAAAATTTTTACTCCATTTTTACACCTCCTCTATTTTGAAATATTTGTCAAATAAAATGAACGTTTGCATGTAACGTAACTTGAAACTTTCGGCTGTGACGGTCATTTTGTTCCTCCCTGTATACGCTCAGTACATTCAGCTGGTCCAGCTCTATGCAGGCAATCTCTAATATTTCCTCAACCGATAGGCTTACTATTACTCTATAGTGAGCCTATCGGTATGACTTGTTAACCAATGTTCGTTAATATAGAAAATATCAATATTATTACAGTTCGTGAATAATTCTACTTCTAACTCGTACTCAACATTCCCTGAACATTCCGGTATTACTGACAGTCAAGTCAATAGAAGAGTGCTATTTAGGATGACTAAGTTGTGTTTGTACTAATATATACTTGCACCCGCAAGATTTTTAACTATTGACCATGACCCATTTTTAGTATATGAATACTGGCTCTTATATACAATATAATATATAATAAAATTCAAATAGCAATATCACACATTTAGCCATCGAATTTGATCATGCCTTCTATACAAATATAAGTTACACTTCGTTTGCGCCGGGCCTGGGTTTTTTCCCAATACATTTTGAGTTTTGTCCTTGGAATATAGAGAAATGTGTGCCCTAAGAGTGTGGGCAGTAGGTTAATATTAATTGCTGGTATTAATGGATGATGACTACATGTTTTTGTCTGTACGTCAGATAGATTATTGAAGAACAAAAAACACGCATATTTTTTGCGGAACCAATACGGCGACACATTGTATTAAAATGTCATATGACGTCAGACCTTTGTACATTTTTTTGTGATCCACTCTCAACTTTAATGTCTGTTATTTAAGATATTTCTTATTAAATTGAAGTGAAAAATTCGTATGTAATAAAAACATTATCTGTTATCTGACGGGCTAATAGATTTTTTAACCAGCCCTCATCCCCAATATAAGTAAAAATACTGACCTGTGGCGATGCGTGCGGTGGGCGGCTGGACTACCAGCTGCAGCAGTGTCCAGTACAGCTGTGCCTCTACTCAATCGCCAAATGTTGAAAGCGGTCATTAAGAAGAATAACCAGTTGAGCAAAATCATTACTAACATAGGTACATAGAGATATAGGAGCTTTTCACCACCTGTAAATGATACAAATCAATTTGGATTTCATGCTGGTTAAGGGATGTCTAGAAACTTACTAGCAACATGTCTGACTCAGATTCAGGGATCCGTACCTCAAAACGGAATTAATGATCATAGACAAGACATGAACATAGACATCTTGCTTGTCCCTAGCAGCACATGATCCGTCCGACGTGAATTTGCTATAAAACTACTATTGGTCGAATCCCCAAACAATTCCAAACTAAGTAAGTTTAAGCAATTATATTATGAAAATCAGAAACCACAAAGGCTTAACCACTACAACAACGTGACAATGTATATTATTTCAAGCTTGGGTGCTAGTAAAAGTTCCATGCCTTTCGGCTATATATTATAAAGTTAAATTACGGTTTATTCTACTTTGATCATGCGAGTGTCTAAACTTGTGTCCTGAAGTCACCTATTGACCGATTTGTATTCATCTTGAATAGTCATTCCAGGGTTCACCACGCTCGGTCTACGATACAGTTGTCAAGCATCTTTTGCTAGTGCCGGTCATGGGGTGGATGACCAAAAATTTTTATTTTGTGCCTCTCCCTGCTTCAGTTGGCACGTCAAGCCTTTGGTCCAATGTATCCGCAATCGTTAACATCCAGCAACATATATGCACTATCCCGCGTGGTGGTTCACACATAGTTCATTCTCCTATTCAAATCGATTCGATTCTAAAATAGTAAAATCACTTAAAACCTACCTTCTAGGAAGCATCCTTTCTCCGGTATCTTCGGGGTGACGAACCAGGGGATATGACGTAGGTTCATTGTGTTTAACACATACAGACCGATGGTCATTGCTAAGGGAAGTCCCCACGCGTAAAGACAGTACATGACAAACTTGAATTTCTCACCTCGCCGATGTATGGGACGAGCTTTAGCGTAGCCTCTGAAAAAATAAATTTATTTCCATTTAATAATCACCCCGGGTTCTTAGTTAGGCCGAAGAGTTAGTGAAGACTAGGAACAGTCTCTACAGACATCACCTTGACGATTGTTACTCCTTTTATATTAACCTCATTTCTTTTTATGCCTTATGCAATGCGGATAATGTCTAATTTATGACATGTTCCTTAACCTTTAAATACCGACGTGCGGTCTGAGAGGCCCTGACAGGCACTTGACTCGCTACTTTACCCCTTTCCCCACCAAATTCCGATCCCTGCTTTTAAGTAGCTGCAAGAACAGTGCCCACTTTGACATTGAAACAGGAAGGCGTAAAGTCGCACGCGCATTTGGGGGGAAACTAGATTTGAAATTCCGACGCGGTCTCTCAGACCTTACGTCGGTACTTACGTAAGTTTTTTGTTTTATTATTTTTTATAATAAACTATTATTTTTACAGATAGTGTAAATTATGGATAGACCAGGAACTTCAGGTAGTAAAAGAAATAGTTCTGCGACAGATTTACATCACTCAAAGAGACCTCGGATAAGTATAAATGCATCTAATCCAAATTATGCGCGAGTAATTGAGAGCTAGATCACGAATGAAGATTCCAGCGGATCTGAGGTTGAGTACGTTGGCGAAGATTTTTGTTCAGAGCACAATGACCATGACACGGATACCAGCACTGATATTTCTGATACAGAAGAAACTCAACCTGAACAACTGGACGCGCCATCATCGTCATCAGATGAAGATGTTCCTCTCTCAAGGCTGGGATGTTTTAGACGAAAGAACAAATATAAGTGGTCTAAATCGCCTCCAAATAGATCATCTGTTAGAACACCACAACATAATATTATTTTCCTATATCCAATTTGACCGAAAATGATGGAAAGGATCCTTATTCTTTGTGGAAACAATATATAAATGACGAGATGTTATCAGAGATTTTGCTAAGAACCAATGAGAAGCTGGCTGAATATAGATGTAAATATAGGAAGTAAGATCGCTCAGAGCTAAAAGATACCGATATGATTGAGTTGCATGCTTTTATTGGCCTATTGATGTACACAAAAGCACATTTGTTTACAGTGCGCGAAACAAGTGTGCCCTGACTGTGCTTAGAATTTAAGATGTAGTTCGATTGCGGACATTTTTTTTTAGAGAAGTTTTATGTTCCTATTATATTTTTTTTCTTAAAGTTATATTAGTCTAAAGTAAGAAATACAAGTTTTTGTTATTCTAAGAAAAGTATTTTTTGTGTTATGATTTTTAATAGCTATTAGTTGGATTTTCCCCCAAAATTCAAGCCAAATATGATTCTAGTGTTAAATTTTAAAATATAATAAAGATCGTTGTCTTTCTTTACTTATTTTTTCTTAGAAACCTTTATTTTCTATCATATTGCAGAGACAAATATTTAAATCAAAACTTTCTTTAAAAAACAATACATAATATAAGCGGCCTCTCAGGCCTCACGTCGGTATTAACGTTACAAAAAATGCACGTCGGTGCTTAAAGGTGAAGGTAGTTTATTTGAAAGTATTAAACACGTACTTTATTGCGTATTCCATAAATAACGGCGGTACATTGAATCGAAATATCGCATGACGTCTCACCTTTGTACATATTCTACATAGTTGGGACTAGTAATCCCTTACTTACCAAATTTCTACTACCTATGTCATTTCTTGTTAAATTTCTTCTTCTTCTTTATCTGACAGTGGACTAAATAGAATTTCCTTTTTGTATAATCCAACCTTCATTCCTATTATTTGACATATTAGATGATGAAAATATTGAACAGCCATACATTTTACATTTAATAGCCTACTTAAAGTAACCTCACTAATGTTATATTTTAACAATGTTGTATTCACAATGTCACACTGGTAAATATTCTTATAGAATAGATATTTATTTGCCTTTAAATAGGGTACAATTTACAAACCTAGGGTACAATTTAAAACCTATTTAGCCATACAAAGATAGCATGCAAATATTAAATTTAATTAATTTTTCATTTCCGGTAAAAACAATCAAAAATTGAAAAATGTTTAAATAATCCACCCATCCCCAAATACGCCGAGGTGGGACTCGAATCTTTCGCAATCCGGGCGACTGCTCTACCACTGAGCTTAAGTAAATAAATAAAAGTAATCGTTAAGAATATAAACTAATGTTATCAATTTCTAAGTGATGAAATGTCTAGGATTCTTTAATTTCATCCAATTTTATAGATTTTTTACAATTAAAAAGACAAATTATACGAATGTCTCTTTATAGTAGGTAGTAAAAATATAAAATGGTTCGCGGCCTATATATAAAGAAAGATAGCCAAAATGTGAGATGCGAGGTCGAACTGTGAGTATGGAGCACAGACTGAAGATAATTTACCTGAATGTCCACCAGATATCGTATGACATAATATTCATCCAACAGAAAGTGGCCAGGAAGAAGAAATAAGTAGTCATTGCTGTAAAAAAATAAGCTTAATTAATATTCATACAGTAATTCAATTTGAAAATAAGCGAAAACAAGGATTAAGACATTTGTAATTATTTTATTGTGATAAACGTGATTTCGAAAGAATTGTTTAAAGTTCTTTGAAGATGTATTGGGAGTTCAGAAGTTCTATAATTGAATGCGGGGATAAAATGCAAACGATAATAACCTGAAAGTGGTCTACCAGGAATTGCCTCGATGTCAAAGTCAAAGTCAAAATAATCTTTATTCAAATAGACTTCTTAAAAGTACTTTTGAATCGTCCAACATTTTTTTCCCTACCACACGTTCAGGACGTCTTTTGGCTGATAAGAAGAACGAGCAAGAAACTCACCAGCTCTAATAAGAGTAATGACATTTACAAAAACCATGTCATTACCAGATCTATACATTATAAACAGAGATAGAGAAAAAATAAATAAATATGGTCTTATAATGATAACATAATAAGACATTATTAAATAATAATAATGGAAACAAGATAATGAGTTTAGAAGTAATCACCTATCCAGTTGCTGGATCATCTCAAGTCCAAGCGTTCTTATCTGTTATATAATCGGATACCTTATAATAAGCTTTTTTAATAAGTATTTTTGTAATAGTAGATTTAAACTGCATGATATCTAATTGTTGTATTTTGCTTGGGACCTTATTGTAGAAGCGCACACAAAGACCCTTGAATGAGTTATTAACTTTTTGCAGTCTAGTGACAGGCACCGTTAATTTATTTTTATTTCTTGTATTAAAATTGTGTACATCACTTTTTATAGAAAACAAACTAATATTTTTACGAACGTACATTAAGTTCTCGAATATGTATTGAGAAGCAACAGTCATAATGTCTATTTCCTTAAAATCTCCCTTAAAGAGTCCCTAATCCTAAGATTATAAATTGATCGAATTGCTCTTTTCTGAAGCACAAAAATTGTTTGTATGTCGGCAGCATTTCCCCACAATAGGAGTCCGTACGACATTACACTATGAAAGTAACTGAAGTATACTAATCTGGCAGTATCTATGTCAGTTAACCTACGTATTTTCATTACGGCATATGCTGCAGAGCTAAGTCTACTCGACAATCTATCAATATGTGGGCCCCACTGTAGTTTAGAATCTAATGTTATTCCTAAAAATACTGTGGTATCCACAAGGCCTTCTTCTTCTTATCTTTTATATTAACATTTATATCTACTTTTTTAACATTAGGTAGTACAAATTTTAAGCATTTTGTTTTTCCTTCATTAAAGAGAAGATTATTTACATTAAACCAATGTACTACTTTAGCGATAGAATTGTTCACATCGTCATTAAGAGGTAACCCTCTTTTAATTTTAAACAAAAGTGAAGTGTCATCCGCAAACAAAACTATTACGTGATCATCACTTACGAAATAAGGCAAATCATTTATGTAAATCAAAAACAAGAAAGGACCAAGTATTGAGCCCTGCGGAACACCCATCTTAACTTTCGATCCAGGGGATCTTTTACCATTGATATCAACCCTCTGTACTCTGTCAGTCAAGTATGAGACAATAAAATCCAATGAGGTATCTCTAAATCCATAAAAATGCAGTTTCCTAATCAATGTTTGAAAAACACAATCAAATGCCTTAGATAGGTCACAAAAAACACCTAACGCATCATGTGAATCCTCCCAGGCATTAAAAATTTCTTGTATTAACTCGACACCGGCTTCGGTTGTTGAGCGACCCCTTGTAAAACCAAATTGTTGTCGATTCATAAGCTTATTCTTGTAAAAGTATGTTTGTATTTGATCCAGCATGATTTTTTCAAAAATCTTACTAAACCTAGGTAGCACGGATATAGGTCTAAAGTTAGTAGGGTCAGATGTGCTATCCGATTTATGTAAAGGAATAATTTTACTATATTTCATGAGCTCAGGAAAAATACCACAATCAGTACATTCATTAAATATATAAGCTAAGATTGGAGCTATTGTCTCAATTAAAAAAAGTCGCTTTCATTTTCAATTTTGCTGTTCCATAGTTAACAAGGAATCCTTACAGTTTCGTCATATCCTACTGTCTGTCCGTCGGTCTGCGGTTTAGCCTAAAAGCTATTTGTATTAATTAGAAAGGTGTAATTTAGTATGAGTATAACCTTTAATCACGCCGATAAAGTGGTAAAAAAAATATGTGTACCTCCCCGTCCCTAAAAAAAATATTTTCCCATTTTACTATATTTCATGAGCTCAGGAAAAATACCACAATCAGTACATTCATTAAATATACCGCGTGTTACAAAAAAACCCGTTACCCCGAAAATGGCATTGAGTACACATAAAACTGAGATAATGGACGCTGTCCTTTATATCGTAGCCATTGTATTTATTGAAAAAAACAATATCGAAGTTAAGCAAAATTTTCGATACCATTTATCGAAGAACACCGACATTATGATCAGCTGTTTCAGTTCATTGACTTCTAAATCAAAGACTATTATTTTGCCAGACTGGTTATATCTACTGATATTTAGTGCCTACGTCACAGTACAGCGAAATAATTTATCTAGTTATGTGTACATATTGTGTATGTATTCGAACATGCAAAATATTACACGAAAGCATTATTTTAAAACTATTTCCAAAATTCGTTTTTATTCAGATTAGAGCTCCCTTTCCAATATACCTTGCCATATTACTATGCCCGTACTACGCACATATCAGGCACGGAAACAAACAATAAAGAGTACGCTATAGTCACTGCACTGGATTAAATACTTTCGCCTGAAATGCTCGTACAATATCTCTTTACGAACTGTAGACGGCCCATCCAAAATAATAATCTTTATAATTAATGCTACGACACGTCACTCAATAATGTACTCATAAAATCAATTTCATCTAATCTAAACAAATAGAGAAACAGAGGAAGAAGAAATATCGCGACCTCTAGAATATTCGTTATTGCACGAACAATTTTTTCTCATAATTAGGTAATTACAATATTATGAAAGTAGGCGACGTATATCACTGAGTGTCTTCCAGGTAACTTTGTCTATCTGTAGCTGCTTCATCTTTGAACCAGAATTTTTACACATCGTGTCTTTAAATCATGATAACCTGGTACTCGTACCTACAATCTTCTGTTACGAAAGTAAACCTAATATGACGTCAGCGCAGATACAGTCGGGGAATAAATTGAAACATTGATCAATATTCGTGTACACATTTCAATTGTGTACACGTTTAATGTCAATTTATTTCTTTTCTAATATTTTTACAATAAAAAGATCAGACTTAAATTGGAATATGAACCTTAATCGGGAATATGATCATTCCCGATTATGGTTTCAACCACTTACTCTTACATGTAAATTGTTTCAAGTAAAATGGATTGCTACCTTAGAGTTAATGATATGCACTACACTTAGGTATCTTAAAAGCGTCTGACAAGAAAAAATGTCGACAAAGAGCCGCTTTCTGAATTGAGAAAAGTACAAAATCTCAACTGAATATTCTCAATAACTGAAGTTTTTTTATATTTCACTAGTCAAAAGACCTAGTTTTATCAAACTGCTAACAACTAATTATAAAAAAAAAAACCGGCCACGTGAGAGTTGGACTCGCGCAGGAAGGGTTGTATCCGGTGCTAAGAAATAACTTCATTAGCTTAACTCTTAAAAATATTTTTTATTGTTTAGGTATTTATTTACGTAAGACAAATCAATACATAATCGGTAAAATCGAGCCTAAAACAAATTCACTTATTCCCCCGAGTGTACAATGACGTAAGATAGAGATAGAGAGGGAGGGAAAGAGAGAGAGAGAAAGAAACGAAACATTATCGTTCGTGTTTGTGTGATGTCGCGCGCGAGTGACTACTTGACGCTAGATACGGTAGTAGTAAACATTTGGTACGGATTTTAATTTATTATCTATTTTATTACTGTGGGCTATTCAACTGAATTTTAGAATCAGAGTATAGGATTCACTATTTTAATGCTGTAAGAAATGAAAATGAATGAGACGTTTTATTATGTACTGTTTACCTATTTCCTTAAATAGAAAAAGCCCTAAAACGACCGACACGGCTAACAAACAAATGGTCATTTATTTGAAAAATAGTTCAAAATAGAAAAGGTGTATAAAATGAATTAAAATTTTAAACAGGTATGTCGATTGTATGCAGATTACTACGGCCCACGAAATACATTAATTTATTTATTTAACGATGTCTTATGATAGTCGATGCTACTTCCTCTCTACAGACTGAGCCAAGCATGCTCTTTTGCAGGTGCAGCGTGAAAGTATATCACATTTATCACTTAAACTAGTCTTTACCAAACATTAACAACGTTTAAATTTGTAAATACTAAAAATACAACCATGTACTATCTTATCAACAACAATAAAAATTTACAAAATCTTTGTCAATTAACAATTCCTAATACGTAACGTTCATAATACGTAACGTATTATGTACTTACGTACGTACGTAAAAAAATTAGTTGCAACAATGTCCTGCGACGATTTTTTTAATTTGTACAATAAAATGTTGATCACCTCGGTACTAGGCAACTAGAAGTTTAGGCTCAAACTTTAACATTGCCGCCTGTCTAGGGTTGTCATCTATCCGTCTTTAGCGGGACATGTTTGACTTTTTAGATTGTGTGCAGCTAAATGTTAATGTCACATGTCCGGCGGTATAGTTTTCATAGGTTTTTGGTATACCTGTGCCGAAGCTATATCAAATAAACTATGAACACACACATTCGAAAAACGTCAAATACCCAAATACCCAAAAAGACGCAGTGTTGCACGGGCATTTGCGAAATTTGAATACAAATCGTTAGTTTGTTTGCATCGTATAGTCTCCGAAATTACTTTATAAAAAAAACCTTTTTCAAAATAGGTTGTGCAGTTTTGATGTTACGATCAAGCCTTATTTTATGAATTCACGTTTTGGCTGTGATAAAAGCGTTAAAATTATGATGTAGTTATCTTATCTTTAATTACCGCTTATTTGTATGTTACGTCTTACTACAAAATCAATTGAAAGTTAGTGATTTTTGCTTAACGCACCCTTTGAATAACTAGGCAGTAACCCTCGCGAAGCCGTGAACTAATATTACTGTCTACTACGGTAATATTGTTTTACGGCTTCGCGAGAGATTTGACTTAGTCCGGCTTTAAGGACAAAATTTCCGATCTAATAAGAGCTATCCCGCAACCCTATCCCGCTACTTCTCAGATTTAATTGCGGAACTATAGGTACCTACCTTTCTGTGCGCCTTTGACATGCCGCACACTATGCAGCGGCTTATAATAAAGGACTCAAATTGGCGGCTTTCCCTTTTTATCACTTTTTCTTTATTCAGTTGTTCATACGTCGTCGATGTGATCACGTTTCGAAAATGTCCGTGTTCTCTAATTCCGAGTTCTATGAAAAGTGCTTTTATCAGTGTTACATGGGATGCAGTGTTGTATTGATATAAATTGAGACTATTTTGAAAAGATGTAATTATACTGAAACGTCAGTGAACCAGAGGTTGGCCGCGATCTTTAGTTTTTTCTTGTGGAATAAAATTAAGTGCCTAATAAAGTGTAGGTGAGTGAACCTCACAAGTAATGCTTAAACAGTGAATAAGGAAGTGAAAAGGTAAAGTACAAATAGTAATTCGCAAATATTTATTTTTAAATACGCCAAAATCGTTTGTGAATTATGTCGCATATAATTTTTTTTTTTTATTATCGTAATATCAATCAGATTTGTCGGACCATTAAAGTATGAACTAAAAGTTAGACTCGTATATCAGTGTTTAAATAAATTTTACCTATCTATCATAAATAGGTACTACTTAAAATGGTGTTTGATCTGTAATTCAGAAACAGCTGAGTCGGAAACGATGCTATGAAATGATATGCGCGTTGATAATAATATGTATTATAATTTTTTTTACTGAAATTAGACTACCGGCTGAACAGCGTCGGTTACCATACCATTTTGCCAATGATTTGATTCCTATTTAATTTCTTTTCATTTTTTTTCGATCGAAATAGGTTAAGTATTTACTGTGTAAACTGGCAAACGCAGACATGTTTTTAAGTATATTTTCTCTCTCATTCTTAGTGTGTATGTGTGGGTGTGTACTAGGAGAATAGAAAAAAAATTTGAAAACATAGGAGATAGGTAGTGTGCCATTACTCCTGGTAAGGTCATTAACCTAAAATAGTGATGTGACATAGCACACTCGATGTATTTATTAATTATTAAAAATTTGCCTTTTTACTGAAAGTTAAAAGTTAATGCAAAGGTTTTGAAAATTTGGCAGAGTACTGTTTATATGATATACTTCAACACCCTTCAGCTATAACGGGTATTTTTGTAACACCCGGTATAAGCTAAGATTGGAGCTATTGTCTCAATTACCGATTTAGAAACCTCAATGGAATTACCCCATAAATCAGCGGTTTTCTTTTTCTTTAGCTGATTAAAAGATTTTATTATATCTTTAAAATCAATGTGTTGAAACTTAAATTGGCTATTACAATTATTTAAACTTGCCTTTAAAATAGATTCAGCAACAGTGGAAGAGGAATTCAAAGATTGTGTTATTAAGACTGGAATTTCAGTAAATAAATTTTCAAATACTGTAGCAACTTCAAGATCTGATGTTACTTTTTTATTATCAATGTTTAAATTAAAATTTATATTCCGGGATTTTTCTCTTCCAGTTTCACTATTTCCAAGTCATTTTAACTTTATCTTTACTATTTAAAATTTTTGCATTTAAATAATAACATTTGGCTAAACGACACACTTTTTTGAATAATTTAGAGTAATTTCGTACATATTCTTTGAAGTCCTCACTTGTGTTATAATTACGTTCATCATATAGTTCATAGAGCCTTTTTCTACTTTTGTAGATTCCTGGTGTAGCCCACACACTAAAAGTTATAGGATTACTAATACGAATATTTTTTGGGACAAAAATCTTATTGAATTCTGTACAATAAACATCAAAGAAATCTTTGTACAAATCATTGGGATTACTATTATGTTTCAAATAATACAATTTAGTATCTAATTGATTTTTAAAACGTTCCAAGCGACTCATACTTTTTGACACAACTGTAATGTCTCTCCTAGCCACAAAAGTACATTTATGCGGAAAACTAACTATTTGTCCTAAATGATCTGACGGTAGTTGTTTAATTATCTGTTTTGAAAGTGGTACCAGATCTGTAAAAATGTTGTCAATACATGTGGATGAAGTAGCAGTTACTCTAGTAGGCTCCTTAAACATGTGCGCAAGATTATAGGACATAAATAGATTTACAAGTCTTGTACATGAATTGGAGTTTCCTAATAAATCAACGTTAAAATCACCCCCAATCACTAATCGTTTGCCTTTGCTATATACCTTTTTTAAAGCTTCATCCATAACTGTGTCAAAAAGATCATAATGACAAACTAAACTTGAAGGAGGTCTATATACGCTCCGTACAATCAGCTGGTCCAGCTCTATACAGGCAATCTCTATTATTTCCTCAAGCGATAGGCTCACTATATCTCTACGTTCTTTAAATTTAAACTTTTTATTTAATAAAATTAGTGCGCCGCCACGCATTGCGTTTTTCCTAATGAACGCGCTACCAACCAGGTGATTATTGAAGTTAAAAATGCAATTATAACTTGTTAACCAATGTTCCGTTATACAGAAAATATCAATGTTGTTACAGTTCAGAATAATTCTACTTCTAACTCTTTACTCAACAGTCCTTGAACATTTCGGTGCACTAGGTTGATGACTGATAAATTCTTGGTTCCATTATTACTTTGATCATTCAATGGCAAGCAAGAGGAATCCTCTTTTGTCTTAGTATCTAATTTAAAAACGAATTTGTCGCAATGTCAGTAGGATTATTACTGACAGTCATGTCAATAGAAGAGTGCTCAATAGGAGCATTCTGGTTAGCCAAATTTTTGGCTGTTATAGAAAAAAAATATGATAGCGAAATAGCTATTTGTCTCTTATAATAATTGGAAAGATAATATTTATCTTTAGTCAAATAAAATTTTCTAACATACTTGTTAGTGTCAATGTCATGAAACTTTGCAGTATTGCATATAGTGTGCAATGTCATATTCAGTTTGTATCGCAAATTATTTTCTTCACTGGACAAACTATTGCAATACGGCAACGTAAAAATCACGACTTTCCCAACACTTAATGAATTTAATTCGTTTATATATTTCAATAATTTATGTTTGTTCAAAGTACCTCTATTGCCAATAAAAAACAACAAAGTGGTATTTTCGCTGTAGTTTTGTTTAATTGCTTTTTCCAAAATATCACTAAAAGAGGAATTAGGCATTTAATGTTGAATGGCCCTTATCGAATAGCAGACGGCCCATGTTTCTGCCAATTTCATCACTGAACATTAAAATATTATTTTTATAATTTTTTGAATTTATTGAATTACGTTGGGAAAATTGTGATGGAGAGCAGTCATCAGTAACAGATGACTGAACAGATATCTGAGTAAACAGTTGTGACTGGTGGGCAGATGACTGACAGGGTTTCTGTGTAACTGTATTTATAAATTGTTTCTGAATATTATTATTGCTATTGTTACTAAAGCTGTTATTTGTTTTGTTAATTAATTGTTTATTTAACAGTGAATGGTAACGGTCAGCATTGTAATTGCATAGGTCAACCAACTCTGTGACAGACCTAATATGCTCATCAATCTGAGACTGTGCAACTAAATATTTATTTTGTATTAATTCTATTGATTCATGTAATTTTTGTAATTTTTTGATCGTTTCTATTTCAAAAACTTACTATAATTAATACAGCTCTCTACTGACAGTTCGGGCTGCTGCACAACCATGAGGAATATGAACGCAAACAAGAGGCTGAGGTCGTACGCCATCAGCACCATGCCGCCGAGGTTCCTTAGTTCAGGCAGCAGACCGTACACTACCAGAACAATTGCCAAGAACACGCAAGAAACAATCATCCCTGGAAACAAAGTCATTATTATTGATTAAGGTCATGAGTTCTAGTCCTATCTCGGACAGACACCCGACAGACAAGAACCAAAACGAAAATTTGATTCGGTTTTTCAAAATATTTTTCTTTAAAGTCAATATAAATAGATATACCGTTGTAAATTCTAAAAAAAATATCATAATAAATATAAAAACAAAAAAAAAATTAAATCTAATTACATTTTTATTCTGGTTAAATGTTCTATTAACGATATAAGGTAAACCCACAAAACTCATCCGTAGGAAAAAAAACGTTTGCACTGTTTAAAACTTAAGGTGACGTTGTAAGAAATTACCACTTTTTAAACCAATTTTATTGTAAGGCTATGCTAATATACGCCCAATAATAATTATTTAAGGAAAATTAAACATTATAATCGATTGCTTGCTAAAAAAAGAAACATAAATTTCAACGGCTCGATAGAAAAAAATCTCAAAGATGACTACATACTTTTGATCATTTTGTTTTAACTACATTCATTTTTTTCCGTGATATTAAATGTATGAAATCAAGTGAGCGCGTCTTTACTCTAGATGCGTATTTGTTTGCAAATTTGTATGAGGTAGAATAGGGCTTCTAGAGACAGTTATATTAATCCCTCTACGCGTTGCGACACGATGTCAGCGGGTAGGTACCAGTTTCAAGCCTCATTTACATTACATCATAGTAACATGAAATAAATGAATTTCACAAACTTTCATGTATACACGTCCAGTTGCACAATTTATGCATGACTTTTTTGAAAAAGTAATGTCACGCAACTAATTTCATAATGATTTACAATAGCGAAATTATTTCCGCAATAATATCTGCGTTAAATAAAACTACGATGCTGACAGAATCAGTGTCCCAGATAAACTGTTCTTTTTATAGGTGTATGAAATTATATAAAATATAACTTATTTTATTGTATAATTTGCTCGACACTCGGGTTAAGCCTGATATAATCATTTCCCATAAATGTTTACGCAATTAATGGAAAAGAGAAGTGGGAGTCACTTGCCTGTGGTAAAATATCCGTTGCCTTTGGCCATCGGCTTGTTTTCGAATCTTGCCCAGACACCGAGAAAAGGTGATCTGGAGGAATTTCTCGGGATCACAAAATCCAAGCAGAAGTCATCTGAATCCAAAATTTGCCATCTATCGAATGCGTTCGGATATTCAGAGTACAAAACGCCACTCTGAAAATTTGATGTAAATATCACAGCTCTTAATAAAAAAGACAAACATTTAATTCTTTTTTTTTACGGTTCTGTATCCAAAGAGCAATAACGGGACCCTTTTACTATGACCACGCTATCCGGTCCGTCTGTCAATCTGTCCATCTGTTACCAAGCTTTTTGTTAGTCATGAACCATGATAGCTAGACCGTTGAAATTATTAAATTTTATCAACTTTGCATTCAGAATACTATACAGATATTTTTTTTTTTTTCATGAAAAAAGGTTAAGAATCCACAATTCCCATCTCGGGGTATCTTGGCTGGTAGATCTTCTGAGTATTTATTTTTAATATAGACCGTTGAAGCTTTCACAGGTGATGTATTTCTTTTGATTATAATAATTTATTCATCCAATTGGCAAACAATATATTTTAATGAAGTCATTTTTCAATCTTGAAGCTCTGTATGAAATAAAACTGTTTTATTTTATTTCATGCATTTTAGTGATATGTTAGTTTTGGGGTAACAAAATCATCACGCATATTTAATGCAAATTTAAGACATATGGTTTTCTCATAGAATCCATTGCCAAATAGAACCACGCGGCAAGCTTTCAAATAAAGAAGGAATCATCAAAATCAGTCCACCCAGTAAAAAGTTATGAGGTAACAAACAAGAAAAAAATAAAAATGGAAGAATTGAGAACCTCCTTTTTGAAGTCGGTTAAAAAGCAGCCCTTGCCGGGTTTCTTGCCGGTTCTTCTCGGTACAAGGGCTCTTGCCTCTTTCACAAGTACTTTTAGCAGCCTAGACTGAATAAATAATTTCGAATTGATTTGATTCGAATTATAATGTACAAAAATGCAAACGAGTACCAAATAAAAACAAATTATAATTAATACTTCGACTCGCACTTGGCTGGATTTATACCACACTATTTTATGTCGCCAATCGAGAATGAGGATTTTTTAAATACATTTTCTTATAAACAAACTTTGCCCTGTTATTAAGGGACACATAAAAGGTATCATCCTTTTTGGTGCAGTTGTTCGGAAGTAATGCGCGTACATACATTTCGGAGATTAATTATTATTTATATAAATTTAAAATTTGCAAAGATTTATTACATATTATTCATTACCATAGCATAAAGTAAGAGGGTTAGTAATTTGTACATCAAATATCACCAACTCTTTATTGATTTTATACAGAGAAATAACGTCCAAATAAGCTGTAATTAAAATTGGGAAAACTACATCATATTTATGAAGATTCTGTCTTGGTTGGGTTATTTAGTGAAATGTTTTTTTGAGTTATTTTTTTTCGTTTATTCTCGTAATCATATTTTTTAACATGCGAATTGTTTTCTAAGGCTCAATATTAAGATAGGTTAATTGCAAACGGTCTTAATTATTGATTGGATTTTAATAGGTTTTTTTTTTTGTTATTGATTCCATAGACGTTATTAGTAAAAAAGGTACTTTTGAAATTACTGAATCATAGTCTGGCTGTGGTTTTAAGCATGATGTTACTAATCTAACATTAGTCATAATTGGTAAACTATATTACAAAGCATGATGTATTTATAATTATATTTGAATAGCAAAATTTCAATAACTTGCATTTTAGAATATAGTTAAGTAACCTAATATTATTTTAATATTAGAGAAGATCCCTCTATATTATTCAAAAGTTCAGTTTCTACATAAACCCTTCTTCGAATGATACCCGAGACCTAAGATATGGCAAAAAATAGGTATATCGAAACATAAATAAATGTTCTGTCGATATGATAAAAATATAACGAAACGCATAACACATTCTTTTGATATAACATAATTATAGCAAAACGCATAAAAGCTCTGTTATGTCTGTTATTGTTTCTGTTTTAATCTGTTAAAATATCATTTTAGTGGCCTACCACGAAAAGGGAAACCAAAGGACATAAATTAATTATCGAGCTATTATAAGATTTGAGGAAAACAAACATTGTAACGTTAAACCAGAACGCAACAATAATCACATATTTAAAGTCTTTATTAGTTATTTTCGATGAAATATGCTTGATGACAAAAAAAGTTTCATTACATAAATTAGTTTTATTACTAATATTTTGAAGACTTTAGTGAATTTTTCGAAGTCATCTAAACCGCCAATATCCTTACTAGTATGGAAATTCTTGTGGGTTATCACCCAAATCTCACACACGCATAAAACAAGACAACTACGTAACCGGACAGACGCGTGATATCAGGGATATAAAATTTTTTAATGCTCGTTTATATTTATATTCTAAAGAAATATAATTCACCAACCCATTCGTCCAAAGCAGTGCCAATTTATACTAAAATAGATTTAAAAATTTACGCAAATTGCATCCGGAATTCCGGGAATGGTTAGATTAATGTTAATTAAAACTTACAAACCAAACTTTTTCAAATCAAAATCATTTATTTAGTGTAGGTTGTTACAAGAACTTTTGAATGGCGAAACTCTATGCTATCGGTTCGTAAATATACGGCGGGAAACCTTGTACCGAGAAGAACTAACTAAAACTTTTAGAAAAAACAAATAGATCTGTATTAAGATAATGTAATGATTTTTTTTTTATTTTATTAATTTATTAAAACTAACAGATAAAACATGATTGAGATAATTAGACAGATGTAACTTAAATTAAGCCAATAACAGGTTTACATAGATCTTAATAATTTCATCAAAAAGTCTTTCAGTATACATTAAAAATGGTCATATTTACTGAACTTTATATAACTATCAAGTATTTAAGAATAAGCAATTAACATTTATCAGAAAACGAACACCTCATTATGCATATAAAAGCAATTATGTATGCAAAAGTAAGATAACATGTGGTTATATAGTGTGTCTAAGTTCTAGACAACTATGCGTCAGTCAAATGCCATCAGCTACAGAAATATTTCCAGGGTACAGATGCACAGAGACACCGCTAAGGGAATGTGGCGTAAGAAATGCACATTAAACATCAACTGGCCAGCATCTAAAGCCCAATTCATGCCCAAAATTGCTCTCGCTATTTCAAACTTGAAAACACGGTTCGATGTAATGAAAGGATCAATATTATATTAATTTTAAAGTAATAAATAATTTATTATTTTAATTCAATTTGTGATCATTTATTTATTTAATTAAATTTGTAAATTGTAATTATCATAACAATTCTTGATACAATTTAATTATATTTCAAATGCTTGTAAATAAAACCTCGAAAATCTATTGCAAGAATAGAAAAGATGTTATCGATTATTTTCTATTCCAGTTAAGAGTAATCTCAAATTATTATATAGAGTTTTGTTTCTTAGAGGCAATCTTCGGAAGTATAGAAATTTCATAACCTTTTAAACGGTTATGTAAACTTAGGGAACCATAACAATTATTTTTATTTGTAATAAAAAAATTGGCAATTTTTACTGAAACTATTAGCCATTTTCAAATAATTCCATTTACAACAATAAAAATTGTTTATAACACTAAAATGCTGCTCGTTCTACGGAAGAGCTTATGATTACACTTCACTTTAATACTTTACTCACCTCTGTTACGTAAGCGTTGAATCCACCCGATAATATTTCGAAAGCGTTCCTCTTAAAAGTAATATTACTAAAAACGTTTGCTTCAAAGGAGAAAAAGTCTTCCACCATCTTTCCTGTGGCTGTTATGGTCTTATCGTAAACAGGTATCGATATATGCAGTTCGGCTTTCGTGTACGGCACACATGGTTTTGTTTTGTTCCTAAACACATATAAATTTGCCGGGCAACATTTTTTCAAACAAACCCCCTTTTGACAGACATCCGAATTCGAACCGACTAATTTTAAACCCGATGCGATACCGAAGTAGGTCGATATTAGAAAAAGTTTTAATATAATCGTGAGTAACTTCGTATGTTTCATTGTAACGTGCTGTTACTTCAGTTATAATTCAATTAATGCAGCAAAATCATAATATATTATTAACTTATTGAGGATGACGTCATCTGCTTTGTAGCTTATGTTTTTCCGGAAAACGTATATTTTGCTAAGAATTATAGTTGTAATAATATTAGTACGAGGTTTGCTTATGAAACGATAAGCTTCTTCGTATTAGTGAGACGCATATAATCCATTGAGTTGTATTATTTGCTCTTTGCATTAATTAAAGAATCATTCTTCCAGTGAAACAGGAATTTACTAATAGGTTGACCCGATTAGTGTATTTAAATTGTAAATTTATCAGCCCGTATAACTATTAATATTACTAACGTATAATTTAATAAATAAATATGTTCCCGCTTACTTTTAAAAATTACTTGGTTATGTACTGGATGTTTAATTAGATTTTTTTTATTTTATTATGTGTATAGTTAGATTAGAATATATTTAGGGCCACGGTAGTGTCCGGTAGGTAGATAGATTTTATTATATTTTTTTAATTGAATTAATAAATATTGGGTATGCATTGCTCAGATTCTAAGATGAGTAAGCTAAAGCCCTCGTATTTATGGACTTGAGAGAGCAAAGTCGCTACAACAACCAGACTCGAGACAAAATTTAAAGTTCATTTTCTACATTGACCCCAACCCTAGCGGGAAAAAGAAACTATGTAGAACACCAAATAAAGGAACACACAAAACAATATAAAAAACCGGAAATGATAAATAGGAACGAAAATAACTAGTAAAAGAAAGGAGCACTACATATATTTAGATAAATATACAAAGTAACCAAAATAAAATAATAAAAGGAAAACAAGGACGAGGCAATAAGCAAATAAATATATGTATAGGAAATAAGAAAACAAATAAGAAGTGGAAACCAAAATATTAAATAGGATTTATAAGCATAACAAATAATATAGACATAGAACAAAGATATGACTTAAAGAATAAAAAAGTAGAAATAAAGAAAATAGTAATATGCAAGAATAAAACAAATAGGAATGAATAAGCAATAGAATAGGATAAGTTAAACTAGAAGTAACACCATATAATGTAATGCAATAGAATATAGGCAAAATAATATAATAATAGAATAGAAATAAAAGAAAAATGAAAAAACATGTATTAGCAATATAAATAGATGTAAGTAAGAAAATGTAATAAGAGTATAACTATATAGAAATAAGTAAAAACAATGTAAGAGAAATCAAAAATTGAAAATAAATAAAAAATGAGTGTACGTGTACAACCCCCTAGAAATAAGAAATAAAGAAAATCATGAATGGGCCGGCTCGGCCGGAGTGATACCACGGCCTCACAGAAAACCGACGTGGAGCAACGCTTGCATTGTGTTTCGTCGTGTGAGTAAGGGTACCGGAGGCCCAACCCCTCCCTATTCCCTTAACTCCACCCCTCAACCCTTCCCTCCCTATCGTCCCACAAAGGCCGGCAACGCGCTTGTAGCCCCTCTGGTGTTGCAGGTGTCCATGGGCAACGGTAATCACTTACCATCAGGTGATCCGTCTGCTCGTCTGCCCCCTATCCCATAAAAAAAAAATAATAAAAAAAATAGATAGAGTAGGAAGACTAGAACGGTAATCCCAGACGAAAGGAACGAAAGAGATGGATAAAAGAAAGAAAAGGAATGAGGAATGAAAAAGCGAAAAATAGTGAGAACTGGTATGGCAGGAGAAACATAGAATAAACAGGGCGTGCTAATGAGTGGGGATAAGGTGATTGGCTCGGCCAATCAATGTAAGGCCGGATTTAAAAAAAAAACCCTACCGGGAATCAAACCTGGGACCTCAGAGGTGGCGACACCTGAAACCCGCAAGTGAACCACTCGCCTACGAATATAATATAATAGTTGCGGGGCCTATCTATTGCAAATAAACTAGATCAGACATCAGAATCTAACCGGCAGGTTATTTCAAAATCAAGTTGCGCGACTTCATACTGAATCATAAAAATTATTATCTCAAATTTATATAAATACATCCTTAAATAAAAACACATATAGGTTCAGTTTATGGAAGTATAAGTAGACATACACTGTTTAATTTACATTGTAGTACTTTCATTTAAGTTTTAAGAGAACAAACAAAAAAAAATAGCTCGAAGCTTGCGTTTTGATTTTACAAGTTTGATGGATATTATGATTAGTAAGGTGACTGTTTGTACTTTTGTTTGTACCCCTTGGGGAAGTTATTAGTGATTTGTCTATGGTTCAAATAAACAATGAAAAATATGTCTTTAACTAAATTTTGTGCGGCTTAATTAGTTAACGAGACTACTTGAGTCGTTCCATTATCAACCCGCTTTACATATCGCTGCCCCCGCAGAACAACGTGGTAAAGCTACATTACGACGTTTTTAAGGTTTTCCCATTTTTGGCTTCTAGGATGCCAATACTATCATCTAATTTTTTTTTATATCTATTTTCTTAAAATTGACATAATTATTAACTAAGACAACTTTTTTCTAGGGATCACTGTTAAAAAATATTTTATAAGAATAAAATAGAAACAAGCAAGTACAATGCAAATATTTCTATCTCTGTTACGCATTAATCGATTGCGACCCTATTCCAGAACATTATCATACCTGCGAACCTAGTAAACCATTTTACGACTATTTTCTGATAAAAAATATACGCCCTATACGCCGTATTTGAATTTACTGCTCCATGTATTTGAGTCATGTTGTCGTACATTTAACATGCCATTATTCTTGATATTAGAAAAATATGCAACTGTTACTATATAAAAATATGAAACAACACCATTTCTTGCATTTTCATTTCAGTATCAAAAATGATATTGAAAACCTCAAACATGATGACAGTAGACAGTAACTGAATAATATCGCGCGATATTTCAAGAAAATTCGGAGTTGTGAAATCTTTCGAAGAAAATTGTCTCCAGATTTCGATAATATTTCAGTTTTGCCCCACATAACAAATTATGTAAATAAAAAAAACAATGCAATTAAAACACCTTCAACGATTTCCAATTTATCTGAAGAATTTGATCGAAATTATAAAGAGAAAGCTACAGTGAATGATGAATGTATTGATAATATAAACAGCATAACTTTCTTGGATTTCGATGATTATATACGACATAAATGATCACAACATGAGCACTCAAAGTGAGTCCAATACTTCAACAATTATATTTCAAACCACTAGCTTAGAAAACATTCACGAAGTTAGTCAGAACAACGGTGTAAATATTGCATAAAAACAGAACGTATCTCAAAGTCAGTTGGAAAGCCTATTGAGGAAGATGAATCTGAGATAGGAACTAAGTCCAAAGAAGGAAATAAACCTAAAGAAGAAAAACAAATGGAAGAAGAAAACAAGTCTGGAGCAGAAAATAAGTCAGAAGAAGAAAATGGGTCAAAAGAACAAAATATATAAACCTAAAGTAAATTTTTTACTAGAAAACGTAACAAAAATGAATGGCAAAATAAGAAGAATAAATTGCTTAAGAATTCTGGGCAATTTTATACCGGGGTCAGTTCTAAAAGATCCCCCAAAAAGCATTAGAGATCTTTGCAAATTCAAAAAGTAGTGCTGCGAAAAGTTCACTGATAAATACAGAAAAGTTATCTTTGTGTCTTATTGGAGAATTGGTGAGCATAAAGATAATGGTAATACATTTTAAGATGCAAAAAGAGAAAAAAGTTATAACTTATTTTTTATCATTAAATGGAAGCAAAGAATAGGTTTGTTAATCTTTTTGTTTGAACACATTAAGCATATCTGAAAAAAATGTTTATACAGCTATAGAAAAGAGTGAGAATGACGAAAACATACATAAAAGGGGAACACAATAAAAACCACGAAAAATAAATATATCGACTAAACATAGCATTTTAAACGCACATCAAGCTCTTCCCTGTAGTAAAATATTTTTACACAAGAAAATAATCAAAGAGATTGTGTTTGTTAGAAAATTTATACATAAGTAAAATGTATCGCCTGTATAACGAGTGGTTTAGTAATCACAAGACCGATCACACAGAAGGGTGTACACAGAAACGACCAAAAAACAGTATGAATTTTATTTAATAAACTTTTTGATTATTCATTTTCATTCCATTTTTGATTATACATCCCATGTACTCACATCTATATTTAAATTTTTTAAAGCATTAATACAATCCGTAGTAGTATCTAAAATTTCTTTTATGGAGCCGGCTGACTCAATATGTACACGTTTTTGTCCAATAAATCTTTTTAATATACAATTAGCTAAGTACTTTTTATTATTATATCTATTTTCTAGTTGTTCCCAACATTGCTTATAATTATCGTCTGTTGTAGGTATATAACGAATTAACTGTTCAGCTTCACCTGTAAGATGCCCCTTCAAATAATGCATTTTATGTACGGTCGGCCAAGAAAGTGGTCTACCAGTTTTGACAACATTTCCCGTGTCTTTAAAGCATCGCTAAAGGCGAATCTTAGAATTGCATACAAACAATAAAAGAGATGCACAATGCTGACATGTTGTCGTAGAGCATAAATGTTATTTTGACCTTTGGCGCCTATGCATTAGATAATAATTTGCAACAATAAATAGTCTTCACAATATTTCATAAATTTAAAATTTAAGTAGGTCACTTCAAAGTGGAAACTATTTTGTTACGAAAACTCTTTTACTGAAAAATAATATATCACTTGACAATTCATGTCAAATATTTTCTCGGCATTTTCCGTAGGTATTTTCCTAATTAATTTACACTACAATGCCCCGAAATTTATCCATTTACGAAAGAGCACAAATAATCGCATTACACAATGATGGTTTGAATATTAGTGAGATTTCTAGAGAATTAAATGTGTCGGTAAGTATTATTATGTCTGACGTGAGTTTAATGTAAAATCTCAGACCAAGTCCGAGTGTAAAAAATTGTTTTTATTTTTTCTGTTCATATTTTATTTTTGATTATAGAGACAAGCTGTCTGTC